GCGCACGCTCACTGCTTGCAGTTTGAGCGCTCTGGCATGGTATTGATGTCCCACATTCGTGAGGCATCAAAGGTAACTGTAAATAGCAGTTACTGTCATCCTGCTCATCAGCACTACACTGATGAGGCCCATAAGGCCGAAACGATATATATATATATCACCCCATGAAAATTTTTTGTATATAATGTATTTCGAGGAACGTTTTTTGGATTCTTGCGAGCTTAAACCTTGCGTTTGGTGGCATTTTTTGATGATGTTTTCATGATATATATATATATATATATATATATATATATATATATATATATATATATATATATATATATATATATATATATATATATATATATATATATATATATTCAGCTAATTGAATAAAAGTTGTCCTTTGCAAACCTTAAAACCTTAAACCTTAAACTCTAAGCGCGCAAAGCATGATGAGAGCACTGATTTCAAGCTTAATTGGTGATTATTGAAGCTGTTTGTCAGTGAAATGTTTTTGCAGGGAGATTTTTATCATGTCTCCAAAAAATGGGCTCCATATATGCTTTCTAAACTGCTTAAATTTTGCTCACATTATGCTTTGCACGCTTAGAGTTTAAGGTTTAAGAGTTTAGAGTTTAAGGTTTCAAAGGACAACCTTTATTGAATTAGCTGTATATATATATATATATATATAGCCCACCTATAGACTTTTTTATAAGAAATATAGTGCAGGAACTAAAAATATGTAAAACAGTTCATTTTTATTTTCAGAGCGTTCTTGTTGGTGATTCTGATGGTCAAATTAACGTTTTCTTACTGACTGGCCTTGGAAAAAATAAACCCAGCGAGGTAAAAATACTGTTACTGTAGTGGGTCGTCTTGTCCCTTACTGTACTTAAAATTCTGTTGCTATATAGTGAGTTGTCATGCCCCTTACTGTACTCAAAATCCTGTTGCTCTATTGAGTCGTCCTGTCCCTTACTGTACTAAAAATTATGTTGCTGTATTGAGTATAGTCCTGTCCCTTACTGTACTCAAAATGCTGTTGCTGTAGTGAGTGGTCCTGTCCCTTACTGTAGTGGTCCTGTCCTTTACTGTCCCTCCTGTTGCTGTAGTGAAGCCGTCCTGTCGACGTCTCTTACTGTACTCAAAATACTGTTGCTGTATTGAGTCGTCCTGTCCGTTACTGTACTCAAAATACTGTTGCTAGTGAGTCGTCCTGTCCCTTACTGTACTCAAAATACTGTTGCTATAGTGAGTCGTCCTGTCCCTTACTCTACTCAGAATTATGTTGCTGTAGTGAGTCGTCCTGTCTCTTACATGTACTCAAAATACTGTTGCTGTAGTGAGTTGTCCTGTCCCTTACTGCACTCAAAATTCTGTTGCGTTAGTGAGTGGTCCTGTCCCTTACTGTACTTAAAATGCTGTTGCTGTAGTGAGTCGTCTTGTCCCTTACTGTACTCAAAATACTGTTGCTGTATTGAGTCGTCCTGTCCCTTACTGTACTCAAAATACTTTTGCTATAGTGAAGCCGTCCTGTCGCTTACTGTACTCAAAATACTGTTGCTAGTGAGTCGTCCGGTGCACACTCAACATGATTGTCACATGTGTCATCATGTTACACATTATCTTCGTTTAGAACAGGTTTAATTCATTTATATAATAGTTAACAAATAGATTACATTTAACCGTTGTCTGTTCAGTTGTAGGTACACAGTATGACGTCATGCGTGGCAAGAACAAAAAAAGTGGCCACGTTCTGCCCAGTACCTATAACTGAACAGACAATGGGAAAATGTAATCTATTTGTTTTATATAATAAAATTGAAAAAATTCCCGAATTAAACAGGCAAAAAGTTTATTTTATTCCCCCAAACATTTGGAAGTCGAAATTTTGCAAATATCACGCGTTCATGATCTATACAAATAACGAAATGCTATTGGCTCGCTTAAGTCACGTGCTGAATTCTGAGTGGCTAAGGTTAGAATGCGCTAGACAGTAATAAATAAGGAAAAATAAAATTAAGCATTACTTATGTTGCACTGAAGAAACCAGCTGGAAAAAGTGACATCGACAGGGGGTCAAATGACTCAAATAGTATTTGTTTTCGAAGACCGGATTGAATTTGAAGTCGCATCTGAATTAATTGAGATTTGCCGAGTTGCTAGCTTTTGTGAATAATTTTTGCACATTTATCGAAGGTATTTATTGATGTTTACAGATTTAATTCCATGAATTCATTCAATTTGTATAAATTCAGTAGAATTTTCAAATGTTTTCGACATTTTAAAACTAATGACGTATTCCGTGCGCATAGAGATATCTCTAAAACTGAGGATTTTAGAAAACGTTATCTGTACCTTCTCAAAGTTGTAGACAAGATATGTTGTTTACGTCCATGGATAGTATTACATAACTCAAAATGATTCGAGCAAAACGGTCTTTTGTTAAAAGGAAGACTGGTTAATAGAAATTGGCCCTTTTGAGTGTCATAATCGTTTGTCGTCATCGATCCGTGTCGTTGAACAATGAACAAATTTGTTGTGAAATTAGTAAAAATAAAATTGCAGTTTGTGAGAAAACTGCTGGTCTACGGAGCGGGAACTTTTCGGATTTGAACTCAGCGTGTTCGAAAGTGTTAGTTTTCCGTAAAAATATTCCAGTTCCAAGACATGGGAAATGAAAGTGAACGATATCGGGACGCAGCAAACGGCCTAGACTGCCCTCTAATAGATCATGGCTGTCGACCAATGAAACCGCATGAATTCTTAAGGTTAACATACACCGAGAAAATGCTTAGCTATAAGAGGTCAGGTATTAGTTGGGAGTCTTCCGTCCCAAATTCGGACGAAAGTCCTCGTCCGAGTCTCGTATGTTGTCTCACGTATGTTGTCTTATATATGTTATAGTGTAAACATTTGTGACGAACTTAATAATAATAATAATCATTCCATTGCTTTATCTGCCGATATCGAATTGACACTGTTTGCTGTGATGGTATGATGCAATTTCCATACTTTGATACTTGAACTATATGTTTTTTTTTTATTCAGGAAAATAATCTTGCTGCAATCATAGAACCTAATATGGCGAAGCAGTTTACACCTCGTCGATAAACTCATCTTTATATAATTTATAATTAAGCAGTGTTTCTAATATTTTATTTATCAATACATTGTACATAAAGTAAGGAAGAAATAATACGCGGTCTTATATTTTGTTACATATATATGCGTTGAAAGCATTGTACACAGTTTGTAGAAATTAAATTTATTCAATTAGAAAATATTATGAGGAATTAAAATGATCTAAATTGGGAATCCTGCGCCTTCAACGTGTGAATTTGAAGAATCATAGAATTACAATTAAATTCCAACTTACAGGTAAGTCGCTTAATTTATAAATTCTATTTTGTCATTAGTCGACGTCACTGAGGAGGCTAATGAGGAATCACATGAGCCTTTAAAGCCTTGTGATCACGAACGTGATAACTGTAAGAACAGTCAAGACCCGTGATAACTGTTATCTTGGCGGTCATAGCTGCATCATCATTTGTGTCTGTGTGTCATATTATTATTATTATTTCGGTAATTCCAAACTTTAGTGAAACTGAAGTATTAGAAGTACTGGTTTACATTTATTGGTGGCGAAAAATTGAGGAATTTCGTTTTCATGCTGCAAATCGTGGTCTTCGTGAAAAATGATAAAATGAGGTGCCGAAGTTACGAAGAAAGCTCCGCTCTTGAATATCGAAAAAAAGCATTTTCCACCGTTCCAGAACTCATTTTGTATTAAAGTTCAGGTATTCTTGTTGATTATGAGCTTTTACTCGTCGTTTCATTATGCTAAAACTGGAAAAAATCGATGTTTCAAAGTAATGTATTATTTTCGTAGTTTCCCGCTCCTCTTTACATCCGGGAATTTGTCCCTCGATATTTTCCGCAATGTGAACTTTAACACAATTCTTTTCACAATTCTTTTTAAATTTCTATGGTGTATACGCCAGGGTTATCACTAGATATTACTTCTTAGACTGATATAACTCTTAATACTATGAACTGAAACAATAACATTCCTAGTGTCCTGCTTCATGTGTCCATTTCCACGTGACCCAGCTCATGTCTGTTTCCCGCCTTTATGCGGGTTACTTATTAACTGAACATTACATCCCTTTCATCCTTAAATAAATATGAATTTCCACTGTTATTTCAGTTAATGTAAATGTGTATATACATAATAGGTTTGGACAATGTCAGATAGTTCACCATGCATGTAATGAATAAACAGTTCCCATGTTTATGGTTTGTAATTTGGCTCTGTGTTTCTACTACTTCTAACAGGATATCGACGACTGTCCATGTTGGCTGCTTGGTCATTCAGTTCGGAATTTTCTTTTTCTCTCTCCTCTTCTCCTCCCTCATCTCTTTCTTTTGGCGCGCTTGGTTCGGACAATTCCATGTCTGAGGGCAAAAGTTTAAAATGAGACGAGTTTCGAGTGATGGTTTGATCTTTTGACGTCACTGTGATCATGGACCCGTTTATTTCGGTGATTCGAAACAGTTCAGCTCGGAATGGTGTGGTAAATTTGTTCTTTTCCTGTCTGGGTAGAACTAGATCTCCAACGGAGAATTTATTTGGTTTACCACAACTTCGTTTGTCTGCATGGTGACAGCAGAATCCTTATTGGCGATTGCAGGTTGAGTGGGGTGTAAGGTGGGCATTTCAGGGAGTTTGGTTTTGATCTGGCGACCCATCAGTAACTCGGCTGGTGATAATTTCCTTAACTTTTGGCTACACACAGCTGGTGGTGCGGCGACTCAACCTGTCAGCCAGGCCAGTCGCTGTGAAAATTATTATCCATTCTCATATTTTCCTAGATTTTCCTGTACTTGAATGAGGTGTGGAACGATAATTTCTCAAGAACTTTTGAAGCTCTTTCTCTCAATTTTTTTGTTCAGTTCGCGCAGTGCGAATAGCTTTTCCCAGGGTACGCATGAAACGTTCAGCCTTTGCTTTGGCCATAACGGTGTGATCTTCCGGTGTTTAAAACCCAGTTCTGTGGCAAAGACTTTGAATGCGTGGCTGGTAAATGGTGGACCGTTGTCGGTTTTTAACAGGTCTGGGATGCCGTGGGTTGCAAAAATTTTGTCAATTTTGGGTATAGCAGCTGCAGCAGAGGTGGAGGAGACGATTTCAACTTCTACGAAACGCGAATATTCATCAATAACAACCATGAGGGTTTGTCCAATGGGGAGTGGGCCATAGAAATCTGCAGCAACATTTTGCCAGGGGCCCAATGGTAGGGATAACATTTTAAGCGGTTCTAACTTACTTTCAGGATTTGTAGCCTGGCAAGGAAGGCAGTGCTTTATCATTTCTTCTGCTTGTTGATCAATGCGAGGGAACCATATCTTTTCGCGAAGTAATCGTTTTGTCTTGTAAGCCCTTGATGTCCTTCATGGGCTAGTTCAAGAGCTCGGCGGCGCAGGGTAGTGGGCATCACAATGCGAGAAGCTCTGAGGATAATATCATTGTTTGTAGTAACAGTCAACTCGTGACGAATTTTGTGGAAAGCTTTGAGATCTCTTAAATTGTACTTGTCTTTGTCATTAGGACAGGATTGATCTGTATCGAGGACTGAGTGCCATTGTTGGGAGCGAATAATTTCAGCAAGCCTTTGTAGTGTTGGATCCTTTAATGTGGCATCCTGGATTTCAGCTAGTGTCATTGCAATTGGAACTGCGGATGTTGTCAGAAAGGATACATATTCTTCTGCAATGTTACGCTCGCGCAACGGTTGGTTTTGTAAAGGATGGCGAGATATGTAGTCGGCAGGCCGGATTAGTTTTGCCAGGTTCATAGCGAACTGTGAAATTGTAAGGTAATCTAAGATTCCAACGTTCGAGTCGAGCAGGAGGCTTAGCTTTCGGGTTGTCGAAGATGTGGATGAGTGGCTTATGGTCAGTGATCAGTGTGAATGGTGCACCATATACTTAAAGATGGAATTTTTCGCATCCCCATACACAGGCTAGAGCCTCGCGCTCAGTTTGTGAATATCTTTGTTCGACAGGCGACAGAGAGCTAGCGACTAGCATATGCCACAATATTTTTTCCACTGTCAGTAGTGCTCTGGGTTAAAATGGTACCCAGGCCCACAGGGCTAGCATCGACAACAAGCTCAGTGTGTCCTTGGCACGATCGAAATAGGCCATTGTAGGACTAGTTGTGAGGCGACGTTTTAACTCGTCAAAAGCATGCTGATGTTGTTTTGTCCATTGCCATTTGGTTCCGTGTTGAGTCAGAGCACGAAGTGGGGCTGTGATGGTGGAGAAGTCATAGAGAAAACGGGAGACATAGTTAACTGTACCGAGGAAACTACGCAGTTCTGCTGTGTTGGTTGGTGAGGTGGCATCGTGTATTGCTAGGACTTTTTGGATCAGGTTTCATGCCAGTTGGACCGAACATGTAGCGAAAAAAATCAAGATTTTCCTTGTCAAAGACACTTGTCAGGATTCAGAGTTAGTCCTTTGTCGCTCAGGCGGTGAAAAATTTCCTTCAGGGCTTTATCATGTTCTGCTGTTGTTTTGCCAAAAATTATTATGTCATCACTAATGTTCAAAACTCCATTTATGCCTTCAAGGACGTGCTGTGTGGTGTATTGAAAAATTTCAGCGGCTGATGAAGTGCCAACGCTTGTATCGTTTTAGTCCCTTGTGAGTAGCAAAGGTTGTGATGTGTCTTGATTCTGGCGCAAGGACGAGTTGATGGTATCCAGATCGCAGATCGAGCTTGCTGAACTTTTTGGCACCATTAAGTGAGTGAATGATGTCATCAACAGTAGGTGAAGGGTGTCGTTCGCGATGGATGGCACGATTGGGAAGCCGCATGTCTACACACACACGAACTTCGTTGATATTTTTCGGTTTTGGTGCAGCAACGATTGGGCTCACCCATGGTGTTGGGCCAGTTGCATCTTCGATAATATCATTTTCCTCAAGTCGCTTTAATTCTTCGGCAACTTTGTTTCTCAGGTAGAAAGGAATTCTCCTCTCTGGTTGTGCAATAGGTGGAACATTAGGATTGACGTGGAGCTTTATTTCAACATCACGTATCTTGCTAACACCCTGGAAGAGGTGTTCATACTGTTTTACGAGAACATGGGTATTGTTGTTACCCGTTCAACTATTACGCGAAATACTACATTTTGTCGGTTTAAATATCGTTTTTATAAAACTAGTCAAAAGTACAAAATTCAAGCATGCTGCTTCGTCACGTGACTGTCTTTCTACAGCGTACCCAAGACAGAGTGATCTAAATTGGTCACGTCACACACTCCCCTCCTAAAAAGAGTGTTCTCTAACATTACGATTTAAATGTTAACAAGTTTAGTTCTATAATAAGCACTATTGTTCGAGTCCTTCATGTTCTTCAAGTCTAAATTATTAGGAATTTGCTGCTTACTGGCCAGGCAAACAACATCTTCGTCTGATATCCTTACTTTGTCCATTCCTTTTCACGTAATAACTAACAACTCTTCAATACTTCTGCATTGTAACAGGTTTTAAAGTAGTTTATACCTACTTATTATCGTAAGTTCATAAACCAAATACTAATAATTGTTATAAATTTAAACGTCTAGTAACTCATGTTAAAGGGCATCAAATAATGTGAGTTCCAGCACGGACATTGGTAGATTACTAGAGGGTAGAAGGCATGAGGAAATGGAGGGATCCACGGAGGGAACCATATAGTGGTCGAATAAATGGCGCCGGTGGCGGCAGTGGGTAACTCTGTGGATAGGTGTAGTATCCAGCCCAATTAATACAAGTTAATATTATACTGTACACTAATGTTTACTAACTTCTGCTTTGTAATTTTATAATGTATTTATATTATTCTATTCTCATAATATACAAGTTATACAACACACCAAACCAGGCGGCTATACTTTTGTGTTTATCCGATATTTACCGCGATGCACTACATTCTGGCGACGAGAATAATAAACCTACACGTAATCAAATCGACGAAATTGATTATTTTGCTAAAAAGACCGAGTTTTTAGAAACAGAAACGGCCGAACGAAGTTCCAAAGTGCGAACAAAACAAACAAAAAAAAAACGCGCCAAAATAGTCAACAGTACAGCTATTGTTCAACGAAGCGCTTGAACTTAAAACATTTATATTATGGCAACCCCCAATCTTTCCTTGCCAAACTTTCCACCTTTTGATGTCCATGTCGATGGCAACGTTGGCCCACGATGGAAAAAATGACTAACCAGGTTCGAACGACTTCTTATAGCGACGAACATCACAGAAGCAAAACAAAAACGCGCCCTTTTATTACATTATGCTGGCCCGACCGTAGACGAAATCTTCGATACTTTATCTGATACCGGCGAAGACAAGGACTATAAAGAAGCAGTAGACGCTCTGAATGCATGCAATGTTGACATTACTGACACTAGAACACACGTGACTAGAAAGTTAGTTAAGTATTTTTAGAAGCACGAGGCTAGGGAACCGGGAGGTAATTGGATACGTACTATGCTGTTTGTACAAGTTGTTTGATATCTATTGTTATACTTATAAGTGCTTGATATTGATACAAAACCACGAACATTACATTGGCGACGAGGTAAACAAACAACAACAAAAAAGAGCAATCGTTTATCAATACAAACGATTTTGAAATCTCTAGTTTACGAAACAGTCATGGCGACTGGCCGAATCAATGTAGCTCCAATGGCGCCATTTGATCCTATGTCCGATCCAAACTCTCTCAGTCAGCGCTGGAAAACGTGGAAACGACGATTTGAAACATATCTTGTTGCTCTGAATGTGACTGAAAAGAAACAAAAGCGAGCTCTCTTGTTGTACCAAGCTGGCCAAGAGACTCAGGATATTTTTGATACCCTTGTTGACATCGGCGAAGACAACGATTATGATTCCGCTATCGCTGCCCTCGATACGTATTTTTCACCTAAAAAACATGTCGATTTTGAAGTTTCGTGAAGCCAAACAACCACATGAAACAATCGATCAGTTTTCAACTCGTCTTAGGAAGCTGGCGGCAACCTGTGACTTCGAAAATATCGACAAGGAAGTAAAATCGGCCATAATTCAAAACTGTTTATCGAAACGTCTACGACGCTACGCCCTGCTTGACTCGGAAGTTACGCTAGCCAAGATTCTCGCAAAAGGCAGAGCTTTTGAACTCAGCGAATCGCAGGCAACCGGCATTGAAAACGCACTTGACTCAACACACATTTCTGACGAAGTAGTTGAAGCTGTCCATCCTACAACGAAACATAACAACCATCGTGATAAACAACATACATCGTTTCACCGCCAAGACTTTTACACCTCATCAGAGTGTCGGAATTGTGGGGGGCCCTGGCCCCATAACAACAATATTTGTCCCGCGAAAGGAAAATCTTGTCTGAACTGTGGAAAATCAAACCATTTTGCGAAAGTCTGTCGTAGTGCTCGCAAGGCTCGCGTCGGTCAACAAGAGAATCGAAGGCCTTCAAAAAAATACCACGAAAACAAAGTTCACAAGATTTATGGCAAACCCTCCAGCAGTGAAAGCAGTAGCGAGGATGAATTCATTTTTACTCTCAAACCGACATGTAGAGACAAAACAACTCCACAAGTTCAAATCTCGGTCAACACCACCCCTATCAACATGGTTATCGACACTGGTACTTCCATCGACATCATCGATGAACTTGCTTTCAACACCTTGCAAAAACAGAGACCCATAGCCCTTCAACGTTGCAAAACACGTATTTTTGCATATGGAGCTACAAACCAGCTACCTGTTATGGGACAATTTTGTGCAACTCTAGAATGTTTGACTGGTGCAACAACCACGCAAGTTCATGTTATCAAAGGAAATTTTGGTTGTTTGCTAAGCTGTCAAACGGCATCTGCTTTGGGTCTAATCATGCTGAATGTTAACAATGTGAAACCGGAACATGCCACCCATGAACAATTGATGAAAGAGTATGCCCATCTGTTCAACGGAATTGGCACTCTTAAAAATTTTGAAGTTAAATTGCACATTGATGATACTGTCCCTCCAGTAGCACAAACCCCCCGTCGTATTCCTTTCCACATGCGGCAAAAGGTCTCAGATGCGCTCGACAAGTTAGAAAGTGATGGAATTATTGAAAAAGTATCAGATGCCACTCCTTGGGTCAGTCCATTAGTTGTTATCCCAAAGAAAGATGGTGAGATCAGGCTATGTATTGATATGCGCATGGCTAATCAGGCAATTCAACGCGAAAGACATCCGACCCCAACTGTGGATGATTTAATTCACAAATTAAACGGCGCCACCATATTTACAAAGCTTGATCTTCGCTCGGGATACCACCAGTTATCTCTCGCTGAGGAAAGTCGACACATAACCACATTTGTAACGCACAAAGGACTCTACCGCTATAAGAAGTTGAATTTTGGCACCAATTCGGCAAGTGAAATCTTCCAACATGTAATTAGCGAACAAATCCGTGACATTCAGAATGCCATCAACATTAGTGATGACATAATTATCTTTGGCATAACACAAGCTGAGCATGACAAAGCTCTTCATGAAATTTTTGAGCGGTTTTCACTCATTGGATTAACCTTCAACAAAGACAAATGTGAGTTCAGTCAATCGCAGCTCATGTTTTTTGGTTTTGTCTTCTCAGGTGATGGTATTTCACCGGATCCAGCGAAGGTTTCAGCAATTCACAACTGCCCACCTCCAAATTCAATTAAAGCTGTTCGGAGTTTCCTTGGGATGGTGACATATTGTGCGAAATTTATCCCTAATTTCAGTGATCTCACAGAGCCTTTGCGAGAATTAACGAGAAAAAATGTGCCTTTTTGCTGGACATCTAGGCATGCTAAATCCTTCAACGCAGTAAAAGCTGCCCTCACAAGTACAACAGTGATGGCATATTTTGATCAAACCAAGGAAACAGAACTTATTACTGATGCATCACCTTTTGATCTCTCAGCTATTCTGACACAGAAAGTCCCAGGATCAGACCAACGAAATGTTGTTGCATATATCAGTCGTTCGCTGTCGGATGTTGAGAGACGATACTGTCAAACAGAGCGAGAAGCTCTTGCAATTGTGTGGGCAATTGAACGTTTACATATCTATCTATACGGAGGACATTTTACTCTGATAACTGATTGCAAACCAGTCGAGTTGATTTTAAATAATCCACAATCAAGACCTCCAGCCAGAATTGAGAGATGGAATTTACGCTTGCAAGATTATGACTTTAATGTAAGGTATACAAAGGGACTTGACAATCCATCAGATTTCCTATCTCGACATTTACCTGTTAACAACACCACTGATGACAGACAGTTCCAAACAATGGCTGACAATTATGTTTGTTTCCTTACCCAACATGCTGTGCCAAGAGCAATGACTCTGCCTGAAATACAACAAGCCACCGTGGCTGATTCAACATTACAGATCCTAAGCAACCTCATAACAACAGGTAAATGGCATTTAATAGACTCTCTAGACGTACAATCCAATCCCAATGTAAAGGTTTTGGACTTGAAAGCATGTGAGAAAATTAAAACAGAACTTACACTAAAC